GCGAGGAGTGGAAGGGGGCGCCCTTCCACTCCTTCACGAAGGCGGCAAACAAACAAACGCCGCGTAAGCCAGCCGGCTGCGCGCGCGGCGCTGCCCTCAAAGCTCCACGCCCTCGAGCGCCGCCTGCTCGCGGATCCACTCAACAGCGGCTTCACTCTCTGCACGGTCCAGCCACTCATCACACGCCGCCCAAGATTGCAAACATTCCCTAACGTCCCAGGGGCAGGGCGGCTGCTGGGCGCGCAACCACTGCAGCATTTCCAGGTCGCAGGCGTCGGCCGCCTTCTTGCAAGCCAACTCGTCCCAGGGGCAAGGCGGCTGCTAGGCGCGCGCCCACTGAAGCACCGCCAGGTGGCCGCAAACGGCGGCTTCACTGCAAGTATCCTCGTCCCAGGGGCAGGGCGGCTGCTGGGCGCGCAACCACTGCAGCACCGCCAGGTGGCCGCCAAAGGCAGCTGCGCTGCAAGTCCGCTCGCCCCAGGGGCAAGGCGGCTGCTGGGCGCGCGCCCACTGCAGCACCGCCAGGTGGCCGCTCTCCGCTGCTTCGCGGCAAGTCCGCTCGCCCCAGGGGCAAGGCGGCTGCTGGGCGCGCGCCCACTGCAGCACCGCCAGGTGGCCGTGACGGGCTGCTAGAGTGCAAGTCCGCTCGTCCCAGGGGCAGGGCGGGTCCAGGGCGCGCACACACTGCAGCACCGCCAGGTGGCCGCCCCCCGCAACTGTGCAGCAAATGCGCGCGTCCCAGGGGCAGGGCGGGTCCAGGGCGCGCGCCCACTGCAGCACCGCCAGGTGGCCGCCCTCCGCTGCTTCGCGGCAAGTCTGCTCGCCCCAGGGGCAGGGCGGCTGCTGGGTGCGCGCCCACTGCAGCGCCGCCAGGTGGCCGCCCCGGGCCGCTGCATTGCAAGTCTCCACGTCCCAGGGGCAAGGCGGCTGCTGGGCGCGCGCGCACTGCAGCACCGCCAGGTGGCCGCCCTCGGCTGCTTCGCGGCAAGTCCACTCGTCCCAGGGGCAGGGCGGCTGCTGGGTGCGCGCCCACTGCAGTATGGCCGGGTGGCCGCCACGGGCTGCAAGGCTGCAAGCCCACTCATCCCAGGGGCAAGGCGGCTGCTGGGCGCGCGCCCACTGAAGCACCGCCAGGTGGCCGCCACGGGCTGCACGGCTGCAAGTCCGCTCGTCCCAGGGGCAGGGCGGTTCCTGGCCACGCAGCCACTGCAGCACCGCCAGGTGGCCGCCCCAGGCCGCTCCAGTACAGGTGCCTTCGCACCACTCGCAGCCCAGCGCCAGAGCGCACTGCAGCGCCTCGAGCCGGCCGCCAGCCGCCGCTGCGACGCAGTAGAGCGCGCCAGCGTCATCTCGCAGTGGCAACGCCCACCGCAGCGTGGCCAGGTCGCCGTAAAAGGCGGCGCGCGCGGCCGCGCGCTGACGCTGCTCCTCCGTCAGCTGCGGCCACGCCTCCTGCAGCGCCCACAGCGGCGCGGGGAACGACTGGTGGCCAGCAAGGCTGAGAGGCCAGGGCGCCGCTTGCGCCAATGCCAGCACTGCCTGCTCCTCGTGCTCGGCGTGGGATGAGTTGGAAAACTTGAACCGCGCCTTCCCCCGCACAGACGCCGCCGCTGTCCGCACCTCTGCCACGCGCGGGGCCGCCGCCGCTGCCAGCGCTTTGTTCAGGCGCGGCACCGTCAGGGCGGCGTCCCCGGGCGGCAGGAAGGAGCAGATGAGAGCCAGCAGTTCGTGCGGCAGGGCCACCATGGTGGGCGCACCTGCGTGCGTCGGGGCGAGGGGCGCATGGGGGATGTGAAGGCGCTGGGCGGCGGCGGTGCGGCGGCACGCAGCGGCGCCACAAGCAGCGGCGCAGCGGCCGTGCGGCAGCAGGTTGGATCAGGCGCCAGCCCGCCCCCCTCGTCCCCACGCACCGCTACTGAGAGCTGCGTCGCGGCCGGGGAGGCGAGCTCCGTCCGTGACGACGAGGTGTTCCGCGCTCCAGGCGCAGGCGCGTGGCTCCTGGGGACCGGATAGCTCTGTATGTGCGTCGTGGCAACAGGAAATCCCTGACTGTGGCGGCGGCGGCGGCGGAGGGGTTATGATGCGCGCGCCGCAGCGGCGCGAAAGATCACCAGCCGGCGGCCGAATGCCCCCCGCCTGGGCCCCGCTGCAGGACGCCCCAGCGCCCCACCTGCGTTGTGCAAGTGCAGCGAGGCCTCTTGGCACCTTTCTCTGGCCACCCGCTCAGCAGCGCTGCGGGGGCAACTGGGCAAGCAGCATGGGGCGGACTGGCCTGCGTGCGGGCGCTGTTCGTTCACGCAAAGGCGCAGCCGCCAAACCCAAAAGCTGTGCCGGGCCCTGCATGCTAGCAGGACAGCCCCGCATAGGCCCCCGCATCTGGCCACATGGGCCTCCGCAGATCACCGCCGCCCCCATGCGCAGATGCAAGCAAGCAGGCGCGCACAAGCCGGGCAACAGCCAGGCCGGGAACCGCTGCTGACTGAATCACGCACGAGTGTATCAGGGCGCGCCTGCCTTGTTAGGTCGACAACAAGGAGTGGACGGAGGCGCCCTTCACCAAGGCGGTGCATAAGCAAACGTCGTGTACGCCAGCCGGCTGCGCACGCGGCGCTGCCCTCAAATCTCCGTGCCCTCGAGCGCCGCCTGTTCGCGGATCCATTTGTCAACAACATCACTCGCCGCCCATTGCAAGCAAGCCCAGAAGAGCGGTGTGACCAACCGAGCCACAAAATTAAGGCGGGCGCGGCTGCGAGCGGCGGCGCCGAGTTTGGCCGCTCGGCAGCGGGCGCGCGCCGTGCGGGGCGCGCGCCACGCCCCCCGGCCGGCATGTGCTTGCCGGGGCTGTAGGCGGCTCGCGAAAAAACCTCCAGAAAAAATATGCGATAGAACCCACCGCGGGCCGACGTGGCCGGCGGGGGTGCGAGCCGCTGGGCAGTGCAAGCGAGGCACTAGTGACACCGGGGGCACCTGGCGCGCGGCCGCAAAGGCGGCGGCCGCAAACACGCCCGGAGGGGGGGCCCATTTTCGACCGGTG